TTACATACATATGTATGTATGTATAAACTATTTTGTGTGTGTTTGTGTGGCCATAGGAATACATATATCTTTGTATCATAGTCTTCCTGTGGCTATATACATCGCTGCTAATCGATCGTCTTACATGTATGAGGTGTAAAATATATACTTTTGCTATGCTGTGGTTAGGTGACGCGGCATAAAGCAAAATGTTTATAAACGTAAATCCGTGAAGAACTAAGTTTGGATCCCCAGTAATATGAGAGAATTCCGAAAGGGTTTTTTTATTTTGTATTAAAAATTGAATGGATGATTATAGTGAAGCAGCTAATGGCTTAAATAAACAAATCACAACTCCCTGTAGCAACTTAAAGGGATTAGGTAATTAAGAACAAAAGTTAACAACATTAATCGGATGGAAATCGAAGGTCCGATTTTTGTTATAGAAATTAAAACGTAATTTTGGAGGCTGAAACGGTCTCGGATATCTAAAATCCATCTTATATCACAGCAAAATGGAGTGTAGGAACCATGGTGTCGTTCCCTTTCTGGAAATGTATCATGGGTTCAAATCAGAGCTATGACACGAAATCTGCGAATTCCCACTACTTTCTTTTATCTTCCGACGATCCATTTCCTCTTCAATCCACTCAGCCAACAGTGTGGGACATTGGATGCCTACCCCCAATATGTACGAGAAGTGTAAAAAGTTAAGAACACCGATGAAAATTGTATTAAATTATGGTGATGTTCGGCGGTGTTCTGCCGTAGCTTTTCATAATTTTCGGCGGTGAACTCTCGAACAACATTCAGAAGCAATTTTACTTTCTGGCCTTGTGTTCGATGGTTGTTTTCTTGAAGAATGATATGTGAAGGGTTTATGCATGTACATATATTTTGAATTTTCAAGAACTGTCAATCACAAAACTAGCAATCCAGCCAAATCATCGATCACGTGAGTTCTTATTTACTACTGAGACCTACATCCCAACGTATCAAGGTGTGAGGCATGTACAATTCAGATTATACAAACGTAACGTGTGAAAATCCATGTTGATGATTTCCATGATTCCGTTATATACATTCTTCGGACTCCGGGATGTCTCACGTTCATGTTGAAAGCAAAGATGTCGAGATCCAAATTCCGAGCGACACAATCCCAACCGTAGCAAAAGCTTGGCCGAATTCATATACAACATTTTGTTGTTGAAATGGCAAACCTTGCCAGTCTGTCCGCCTGCGGATGAATAAAAAACTAGATCAGAAAACTCTGAAAATTAACAGGGAAGGTGAAAAGCCAGATTGCAGAGCTGACAGATACATACCCTAAATCTGCAATAACAATGCTGATGTTATCTTGCGAGCGTTGATCCTGTTCGATATGTGAAAATATCAGGTCATTAGATAACTAACTACCAAAGAAAACGATTTAACTAATGTGCGATGAGAAAAACAAATACTCTATGTAATTTGTTACCAGAGCAGCTTCAGCAAGCGCGTCGCAAGCTAGCTGAAAAAAACAAGATAGGAAAAAACAGGCGGTATAGTTAAGCACTAGATTGCCATTTTTATTACAACGTTAAAGCCGATTGACGCATTTAAATGAAGGCAGTAGTTAAACCTGAACATCTCCGTGTTTTCGAAGCTGATTCCTTACAAAAGTCACCGCATCTGAGCTGAAAGAGTGACCAAATTTTACATGAGCGATCAATTTCATGAGAAAACATGGCATTCGTCTGAAATTTTACCAAGAGCGTTAAATCCAACAGACCTGTTTATGTAGTCCCATAAGCCATCTGATGCTAACAGAACAAATTCTGAATCTGTCCCGAAAGTTACTTGAAAAACGTCTGGAGATGCAGTAACAAGGTCACCGTTGAATTGTACTCTGGCATAACATAAAAGGAGTTTGAATCGAAGTATTCTTAGATAGGCACAACGACATTCTAAAATACAGAGAAAGAACCATCTAATTTACGCTACTTACTCCGCTACTCTACATTAGTGCACAAACTAAATGCTTTTGAAAGCGTTCTACAACATACTGGCTAGCAGTGAACCGATACAAAAGCGTCCTAAACTACAAGGAGCAAACAAAATAGATGAAACTGATCGTCGAGAACATAAGGATTACCTACCGAGAAGCAAATTTTTCTGTCCATCTCCTTTCTTCAACTCCTTTTTTCAGCATCCTTTCCATTATAAAATGCAAAAAGCCATCAGTATATGCATCTTTGATTATCTATATGCCAAAGCTCCCATGAAAAAGCTGATAACAATTGATCTGTGTGTTTTGGAAAGATGAGCAGAAAGTTAAAAGACTCTACTCGTTTTTCTTTGTCTTGAACCGCATGTCACCAAACGCACGAGAAACAGCAATGTCGCCGCAAATTCTTCCATTGCTGATCTGTAGACGCCATATGCAAGTTGTCATAACATATCCAAGCTATAGATTATCAATGTCTCCTATTTTATACAGAAGAAATCTGACAATCATAAACAAAGAATAGAAAAACACACCCATCCACCTTCTTCTCTGATTCTTTTGATTTCTCGAAGAGAAGCCTTGTTGCTCCCGTACGGTCTATGAGGATGCGTAAGAACCTCTGCCTTTCCAGAACAAGATTGAACCTGCACCAGCCAGTCAGCTGATAAATGCAGCAAATTACACACAACCGGGAAATTGCTTCACCATTTTCCTATCCCACTCAACCTTAACATTCCTACATTCGTATCACTTTCCGGTATTTGACAAATGAAGTTCTGCGTGAAATACAAATGCTGAAACAAGGTACATACCGCACAAGAATCACCAACATGTGAAATAACCAGCGTATCGTTTCCAACGAACATAAGGGTAGCTGTCGAACCAGATCCGTCTTCCTCCCCATTGCTTTCGAGCCTTTACACAATCAAACACCATCTAAACCTTCAACCCAATTATATACATGTATACAAAACATATTTGAGGCAACATGGTTTACACATTTGATGCAAATTAGACCAAAATGAATTTAAGGTCTCGTTTGGTACGACTTCTGGAATAACTAAAAGTGTTTTCTGATAACCAAAAGCTCTTCTTTTGTTTGGCATAAAGACTTCTAAAAGTTATACATGTTTATGATAAAAACACTTCTAACATAAGTGCTTACGAGCATAAGTCCTTCCTACCAAACAGTCCAAACCAACTTACCAATTTAACAATTTGGAGTCAACTTTTTCAAACGTCTCCAGCAATGCCTCTCTAATGGCCTTGAAGTCGTTTCCACGTAGTAGCAGCCCGCCCTGCAAAGCCGCACAACACTCCTTGTAGAGCTCATCTCTGTTACAAAAAACCATTTTAATCCTTACTACAAAAATTGGCAATACCTAACAAATCGCAAAATGTGCAAGTCTAATTTTCTCAGACTAGTATATGTGTCACATATAATCGTCGAGTCTAAGTATTTTATCTCTCGCCCTTTGAATCTCAGTAACATCAAGCAAAATTAAAGACATCGACTTAACTTAGTTTTTGGGCTTAAATATTAAAATGGTCCCTATGTTTTAGTCGTTGGGTCAATTTAGTTCTTATGTTTTCAATTTGGCCAATTTGATTTTGTGTTTATTTCCGTTAACCAATTAAGAACATTTCCATCTAATTTTTGTAAAATTTTTTTTATAATAATATTATAAACTTATTTATTTGATTTATAATATTTAAAAATGAAATAAAACTAAAAATTTAAAAAAAAAAAATGTTCTCCTCCCAACTCCCCAACCTCCTCCCTAACATTACCCCCTCTCTTTTCTGTCACAACCTTAATCAATTTTCAGATTTGAAGTTTTATCTCTTATGTGTGTTATTTCTCATTGATTTGCATTTTTCTGTAAGGAGAAAGGATAATTATATCTCTTATAATTGTTCTTCTGAATTTTTTAATATAGATTGAATGAAATGTCCTTAATTGGATAAAAGAGATAAACACGATGACTAAATTAGTCAAATAAAAAACACGGGATTAAATTGGCCATATAACTTTAACACAGAAACCATTTTGACATTTAAACCTAGTTTTTGTGTACCAGTATAATATGTCCATAATCCAATTATTAAAATTTTAATTACATGGAATTAGTGATGGTCCAACCTGAGGAACTTGACCGAGTTGAACCCTGCATGGCCGTCAAAAACGGCGGCAAATGAGAACTCATCAAGGCCTTCGGACCGGACAACGACGGCATCTTCCATCTCCTCCCGGGCACCCTGCAGACTCGTCGAACCCCATCGGATTCCAGCCACCTCGGTCAGGGAAGAACCCGGCGCGTCAATGGCAATCGCCGAGCAGCTTGTGCATCTTGCTTTTATGTTAAAGCTGCTTTTTGCGGCGGCAGTCTTGAACGAGCCGCCGTGGTATTTGGTTAGGACGAACCTCTGCAGCTGTGGGCTTATCAAAGTCATTTTATCACCAGCAGTAGTAGCACTACTGGCACTGAGTCGGTGAGTTGGGACGAGTTAGTTCGGAACTAGGAGGAATGGTGGTGGAGGTGGAATTGTTGTTGTGAAGGATAAAGAGAGAATGAAGCTGCACCTCTAACTGGATTAACAGATTGGGTAGGAACGTGGGACCCCTTTACATTCATTTGACACTTTGACCTTTCACCACAGGTATGCCACGTCATATGTGGCCCACTTTAAGGTGGGGTCCCAAAGATGCTGACTAAGATTGTCAGTAGGTGGAGAGATTCGAATTAAATTTTAATCTCAATAACATCATTGTTAAATAAATGCTTGTTATGTGTTTAGAAAGTTCACTACTCATTCACCGGACAATTGTCACGTGATAGTTTAGTGACATGATAGAATCTCCTTTTGAAGAGCCACTTAAATGAACCGAGACGGTATTGTCTTTGTGTACTCGGTTCATCCAAATCATTCTCATTTTTTTGGGGTTTGCTAACAATACTGAATACGAACACCTTTAGACATCACATACTCAATAGGTACACCTACAAGCATCACGTACTTAATACAAACACCATAGCACAACACTCGTTAGGTCATCATAATCCATCGAGCAACACATTGACAATTGGCTCATATCGCATATCATCACCTTACAAGTTTACAAGTTTACTTAACATCGGAGACTAATGATAAACAAGATCAACTAAGGGGATTAAAAATCAACCATTACAACATGTATCAATGGTGTAACTAATTTACTCTTAAGTAAATTCTTCTTTCAAGTAAGAAGGCCCTGGCTTGAAGGGGTCAGATTCTTCATATGCCTCTGGTCTAAAAAATCCAGCATCATTCACTCGGTTGCTTATCACTTGAAGGATGGCTTTCTTCTTACCCCCGTACTCGTCTCTGTTGTTCTCCACATACTCAATGGCCTCGGCCGCTACGTCATTGACAAAATCAAACCGGTTATCCTCCGATAACAGTAGTCTCTCAATGTCCATTCCCAAGAGCTGCCCTCCGTCTTTTACCTTCCGAACCTGCTCCTCAAGAAATGGCACTCTCTCCATCTTGTATCCCAACATGTCATCCTTCTTTGTCTAAAGAATAAATATTGGCAAGACGGATATCAGTAAGTAATCGAAAACAATACAGAGAAAGCATGCTACTGATCTTGTTACAAGAATCATACAACTTCAGCTGAGGAAAAGATCAAATTTGCAGATAAAATAACCAGACACAGTTCCATAAACTCGAATTCACCACGAGAGCTAGCTCAAACGAGTAATGGGTTGTTTCCATAACATAATATAACTACCAAACATCTGTGTTTTCGGATTACATACACACTAAACCACACCAAATTGCAGAATCATCAACATGGACCGTATCCTTTTGATAAGCATTCACTTACATGAACATTCAAAATCTAGACTAAATTGCTGCTCCTAAAAATACCGTCCAAGTTTTGTGCGAACTTTGTTAATTTTGGGCCAAAAACTGATTTTGGCGTTTTTTTTTTATTTACAAAAACTAAAAAAAAAACTGAACCAAACCTATACTTGGACCGAACCAAACCGAACCGAACCTATTACGTTTGGTGCTAAATCGGTACAACCATTCATACCATACTGAAATTTTGCTACGGGTTCGGTTTCGATACCGAACAGTACCAAACCGAGCCCAGGCCTAGTCCAAGTTAGCGTTGCTTGCCGTTAATCAATTCTACCTCACAATTGGATTGCTTAAAGCTTGCCAAGAACTCTAAAAACCCATTACTCAGGCTTCGTTTAGTGTCTAGGATTAGACTGGATTGGATAACCCACTATTTCACTTATTTTAAGTAAGAAATAGATGTCAACTTCCAAATTTTGTCTCAATAGTTAAAACTAGGAGATGCATTAGTCATGACGAAAACTTATCCCACAAAATTTGAAAGTCATCCGTTTCTTCATTCAACATAGTGAGTTGTCCGATTCAATTCAATCTAATCCTAGACACCAAACAAGTCCCTTTTAGTGCCCAATTAGATACAATTCACAACCATCATACTCAACTTTCTATACAATTAACAAGGAAAATTAAGGATGATTCAATTGGGTATTTTTCTTTTGTACCAATTTTCTTCGCCGCCACACTCGCCGCCCTCTGCCATCTTTCTGCATTCGGGAAACCACCTGCAAAAATTTCACTTCAAAAAATCGAAAAAATAATTTCATAGAAAACAAAATTGAGAAGAAACCCAACAAAACAGTCAGAAATAGAAACAATTTGTCACCTTCGGCCTCAGGGAACAGCTCGAAAGCATCGAACTTTCCACTCTCAGCTGCACCTTCTGTAGTGGATAAAATAAAAGTGAACGTAATAAGTAAGAAATTAAGAACTGGAAATTCGCTGATACTGAATTTTATTTTTGTCTAAATTATTTTAGAGAGAGAGAGAGAGAGAGAGTTACAGGGGAAGGAGGTGAGAGAGTGAAGAAGGGGAGCGTGGCGGAAGCCATAGCTGTGCGTTATCCCCTCCTCCGCCTTCGACCGTCTTTAGGTTCATCCTTTATGCGTTTCGCGGCAAACATGTCCTCGCGTTAATCTGAATTTACATGTATGCCATCGCATTTGGTGCAACCGTCAAGAGACCAACCAAATGGATGATGACATGTTTACCCATTTGAAATTAAAAAAACTCGTAAATGAGAATGATATTTGGTTGTTCATGCATAAGACCATTTAGTGCGTAATATGCATGTGATTAACATTGAAAATGAATCTCACACTGATAAGAGGAGGAATCTTACATGTGCTTATAAATAGTCGGACTACTTATCGCTAATTGGTTTTATGGTGAAATCTTAACTTTTTTCATAGTATTAGAGCCACGTGTCAAGTCCAATGGCCACACGAGACCCACGTCATTCAATTTGTGTTGTCCATGTGTTAGGTTTGAAATTTCACTACACGTTAGAGTGCGTGTTGCGAATGAATCTCGTATTGATGAGATAAGAGACTTTGCATATACATATAAATAATTAAACTATTTTCCATATTGCTAATTAATTTATGGTAAAACTTCAACTTTCTTCAATTAACACATGAACTATGTCAAAAGTAAGATTATACGTGTAATTATCTCCTCACAAGTTAAGATCCGACATACGAATTTGGATGGCAACACTAGGGTTGGAGATTGGACTTTGACAATGAAAAACGATATAAGCAGTCTATAAGTTTGTTCACCGTAAATTGATTTGGTCATTTCGTGGAAAATTTGTCAATATTTTTGTTAAATTGTCATGTGAACGACCACGAGGTCACCTATGTAAGGATATTTTTGTTAAACCAACCCTCCACTTACACAAGAATATTGACATATTCTTATCAGAATGATTTACAATGTATAAATTCTGTCACATCCCCGCCCGGGCCCCCACCACATCCCGGGCCCGACTCTACTGTAGCACGATATTGTCCACTTTGGGCCCCAACCACACCCTCACGGTTTTGTTTCTGTGAACTCACATGAAAACTTCATAGTGGGTCACCCATCATGGGATTGCTCTCGCGCGAACTCGCTTAACTTCGGAGTTCCGATGGAATCTGAAACCAGTGAGCTCCCAAAATGCCTCGTGCTAGGTAGAGATGAGAATATACATATAAGGCTTATATGATCCACTCCTCTGAGCGATATGAGATGTTACAAATTCAGCAACTACTTCTATCGTTTTTCATTATCAGAAACCAAAGTAAAAATTTATGCCACTCTTAGAGACTATTTTAGCTAAAAAACCAAATAATAATATGAATTTGTAATAACAAAGACGTATCAAATTAAAGATGGTGAAAATCTCTTTTATTGTAATAAATTGGTTTAAATGAACATTTGCTTTACCATTCATGCAGGTCGAATCATATTTCTTCTAATATTAAAGGAATGTAACAAAAGGTGAAATTAAAGTTGTACTAATATTGTGAAGCACTCTCTCTCCTCCCATTCTTTACATCAAACCAATTGGTTTTCTTTTGATTAGAAAACCCTAAATAAAATAACATAACTATTCACTTTTGATTGATTTTCTTGTCTGCAAGGAATATGATTTGAAGAAATTAAATACGGATACAACTGCAACAAGCTCACTTTGCCATTAAAGAGAAATTAAACTATAATCAAGTTGTAAATCAAATGCAAAAGTTGCAAGCAAGGTGTTTAGATTCCTTGTACCAAAAGCAAATGCAAATGCAAATTTATATATAAAAATATCTTTTCAAGTTTAGGTCTTTAAACTATGTGTGGACTAGGATTCTTTTTGAATCCATTCCATCCGGATCCTCTGGATCCTTCAATGCCAAAGCTAGAGACAAAAATACGATTAACATGAAAAGATTAACATGGAAGAAGATGAATAGGAGAAGGTGAACATCAAATTAATTCCTAGCCATTGAATTCTCGGTTGGACGGATATGATTAAAGGATCTAGATGGAAAAAATCCGGGAAGGATCCTATTCTATTATATGATACATGAGAATTATATTAACTAATCTGGTCTAGATAATGTGTTTGTTTCTTGAGGCTGACTTGGCCATAGCTTAGGGTAAATTTCAGAATTAAAAAAATAAACAGCATGTAGTTTTATGAGCGGAAGTTGTCCAATTCAAAACTAACCCGACCTTTTTAGTAATATTAGCCTTACTCGAATTGTAAAAGAAAATTAGCTCACTCTGTAAAAATTCCAAGCTCCATCTTCAGTTTGTTTATTTGATTACGGGTTTGATTTTTATTCCTGTAAATTAAAGTAGTTTAAAATATTTTTTGTTATTATGACAACGTGTCTGTTCTCTTGCACTCAAGTCCGATTTCCATTTCCCTACTCTAGGGTAGATAGAAGACAATGTGTACCATTATGCAAACCGTGTATCTTCCACCTCACAATTTCTGTCGTACGCTATCCATGCTCAAGTCAAGAGTCCAAGAACCGCTAAACCGTCGTCGTTTCGTCATCTTCATGTGAAAGAGACTAAAAGTATAACAATTATTATTTATAATTTATTATTTTTCATTATTATTACCTCACAGTTGGGTTCTGGGGAAAGTAAAGTAAACCAGACTGAACTGCTAAATCTGGCAAATCTCCTCACGGACTCTGCAAATTGGACTCCTTCTCTCTGTCTCTCTCCTCCCTCTCTCTCTCTAGATTCTCCAAATCTTCTAGGGTTTTCAAATTTGAACAATTTTCTCACGCTTTCCGACGAACCAAACAGAAAATAAGGAAGGAAAAAAAATGGAAAACAGAACAAACAGAGGAGGACAAAGGACACTAGGAAAATGACCGAGCTCAGAACTCAGAAGTGACCCTTACCCTTTGCTTCTTCAACTCCAGGACGAAGACAATCTGAACCCCTAGACCTCCGATTCCCGGAAAGTTAAAAACCCTAGGTTTTTTGAGAGAGGCGGTTTTGGGAGATGGAGAGGTCTAGATCTAAACGGTACTACTATGAACAGGACTACGATACGGAGACTGTGGGTAGGACCAGGCCTCGGTACAATCACCACTACGCGAACAACAACAACCACCGCCACCGCGGAGGTGGAGGCGGCGGCGGCGGCGGCGGTGGTGGAAGACCCTCTAAGCCTCCTCAGCAGGACCCGTCGGTTACGGTAACTACGACGTACCGTATTCTCTGTCACGATATGAGGGCCGGAGGGGTGATTGGGAAGTCCGGTAGCATCATTAAGTCGATTCGGCAGCACACCGGCGCATGGATCAACGTGCATGAACTGATTCCGGGAGATGAGGAGCGGATTATTGAGATTACCGACACGCGGCGGCGGGACCCGGATGGGCGAATGCCGTCCTTCTCGCCGGCGCAGGAGGCGCTTTTTTTGATCCATGAGAGGATTCTGGAGAGTGATGTTGCTGGGTTTGGCGGTGAGGAGGAAGATGAGTATGGTGGTGGGGTTAGAGGCGGCGGCGGTGGTGGTGGGAATCGAGTGGCGACGCGGCTGGTTGTGTCGAGAATGCATGTGGGATGTTTGCTGGGGAAGGGAGGGAAGATAATTGAGCAGATGAGGATGGAGACTAAGACCCAGATTAGGGTGTTGCCTAGAGATCATAATCTGCCTCGATGTGTTTCCATGTCGGAGGAGATTGTTCAGGTTTCGGAACTTACAGCTTTACCTGCATTCTGATTCATGTGTTGCATATCACGGATTGATGAACTTTTCAGCTGCATTCCATTTTTAGTAGTAAGTGTCATGTTTGGAAACTTTTGTTTCCGATTAAACTTATTAGAAACTGCGAAAACCATGCTTATTAGAAACTGCGAAAACCATCACACCGGACATAAAAACGATTGTTGGAAGCTTAATGATGTAGTCAATGACTCGCACTAAGAATAAATTAGGTTGAATGACGGAGTATTTTCGTGTCCATGGAATTTGCTTGGGTGTCTGTAGTTCTAATTGGTAGTGTTTTTGTGAAAAAATGTTGAGATTTTAGTTGCATCATGTTGGACAGGAGAGCACTGAGTGTATTTGAACACCTCTTTCGATATTTAGTTATATTGAAGTTTGTTTAATGTAAACCATTGATTTTAGTAGTCGCTGCATTTTAGCAAGAGACTCAAATGGCTTTACGCAACTCTTTTAAGTTAGCATTCCTCTGAGCATATGTTGCATTTCTGCTGCAGGTAGTAGGCGATCCGAATAATGTAAAGAGTGCTGTGGCAATTATTTCATCACGCTTGAGGGAGAGTCAGCATCGGGATCGCAGTCATTTCCAGGGGCGAATGCATTCACCTGAACGGTTCTTTCCTCCTGATGATGATTATATTCCTCATATGAACAATGCAGGAAGGAAGACACCCATGGATGGGGCTCCCTTTGGACCACGATTATCTAACCCCAATATCAGAAACAACAACTATGCCCCCCGTTCATCGGGTTATCCAATTGAACATGGGTCTGCTCCCATGACTGATAATACACAGCCCTTTTGTGAAGATCTTGTGTTTCGAATACTTTGTCCAGTTGACAAAGTTGATCTTATAGTTGGAGATTCAACCGGAATTATGGAACTGCTTCAAAATGAAATTGGTGTGGATGTCAAGGCTACTAACCCTGTGGTTGGTGAAGATGAACAGATAATCATAATCTCTTCTGAGGAGGTACTTCATAATTTTCTATTGTTTATCTGGATGGATAGTATTTAACTTGCAAGGGTGCATTTTCTTCTGTTGTGTGTTAATTTGAAGAGATGATACACCCTTGTTGCTGGTGACTCTGCTAACTAATATGGACATGTTAATCGTAATGGTTGGCTTTTTGACATGCTTATCCTCCCCTGCCCTCTCCGTTGTTCTATCTTTTTTGTGGAAAGATGTTGACCGTTTTATGTGTGTATATAGGGTCCTGATGACGAGCTGTTTCCAGCTCAGGAAGCTTTGTTGCATATTCAAACTCGCATTGTTGATCTTAGTCCAGACAAAGAGAACACTATAACTACTAGGCTACTTGTCCCAACAAGTGATATTGGATGGTTAGAGGGAAGAGAAGGGTTGTTAATGGATATGAGGCGACTTACTGGTGCAGATATACAAATTCTTCCCATAGATGATCTTCCCACGTGTGTATCAGGGGATGATGTACTTGTACAGGTTTGTCATTCTACTTGCTAATTCATGGAAATGCCAGATTTATTGTTATGCGCCTTTCTTCTCGTTATCTGAGAAGCTTCATTGGCAGACCTTTTTTTGTTGGTTTGGCTGAATACCATCTTAGTGGACTTGCAAACTAAAGATGAGTTCTTACTTTTGAAACATCACATGATTGGCTCCTTTTTAAGCGGGCCTTGTTTATTTAGATATATGGTGATTGTCGACTGTGATATGTGAAAATTTTACTGGAGGATATAAAGGGTCTGGTCGTATCCAATTATGAATCTATCATGTTTGCCTAGAATATCATGTGAATGCTTGCTTCTATCCAATATCTGTGTGTGTTTGAATGTGGCGTCTACATTTTTAGTGTCATTTATCAGGTGAACTGTTTCGAACACTAAAATAAAATAAATGGTCAAGAAAAATAAATCCCCGAGGTTATAAAGGCCCGGACTACCTGGTGGAGAGGATCAATTACAATTTAGCCAATTCTGAATATCTCCTGCTTGTCATATACAGATTGTAGGGGAAATAAAAGCAGCTCGACATGCTCTTGTTGAGGTGACGTCAAGAATACGGAGTTACTTATATAGAGAGTTGTTTCGAAAGGATACACCACCACCTGCTTTTGCACCAGGCCCTGCAGGCAGTGCTTTCGCAATAGACCCATCTCCGAATAACACATTTCCAGTTCGTGAAGCTCATACTGGAAATGATCCTCCTATGAAAATGTATCAGAATGTGCCAACTGGGGGAATAGCACAACCATCAAAGGTTGCTTTCTCTATCCATTAAGCTGTTTCTTTTCGCCTTTGATCTTTTGTTCTCTTCAGTAATCATTATATGGTTGTACTTGAGTCTATCCTTTTTTCATTCACTGCTATTGTAGGATGCTGGAGGGATTGCCAATGAAACAGTAAAGCCACACGAAAGTGAACGCCGTGAAGATGCTCCGAGCTCTTTGAATAGGTAGCTAATTTCTTCTCCGCTTAACTATTTAGGCCTCTTATTAATCATAGTCTCTCTACCTCCCTCTCTGTCTCTCTCTCTTTCTACGCATATTTTTCTTTTTATATTTGTTACCAATCAATGTTGAGTAATTCTTATTATTGATGCTTTCTATATCTTCTGTTAGAATGCCTGTGACGCTTGTCACTAGGAGTATACTTGAAGTTGTAATACCAGAGCAGGCAGTTTCAAAGCTCATAACGAAATCGAGAAACAAGCTTGCTCAGATCAGTGAGGTCAGCCTGATGAACTCTTTTATTCATTTGCTGCCTTTGTTTTCCGACTTTAGCTATGATTAACAGTATTTTGTGACTTTTATTTCGACCTGAACAGTTATCAGGAGCTAATGTGACCCTGGTAGAGGATAGACCGGAGGAAACACAAAAGATCATTCGAATTTCAGGTACTCCAGAGCAGGCCGAGAGAGCTCAGAGCTTGCTTCAGGGCTTTATTTTAAGCAGTAAGTCTCTCTCTCTCTCTCTCTCTCCAAGTGTATGTTGTATGTCAGCCTACGTTCATTCTTGCATTTCTGATCGTCGCCTGCCCTATAATTTGACTCATAAACCCTCCTTTTTCATCAGCACAAGAAGACGGCCCTTAGACGAGCAGGAGCAACATCGGTGCTAAAATTTTGAGCCGGTCCTGCCGGGATATTTTGCTATTCAGATCACTTCTGGATGTATTGTCCTGCAAGGCAGGGAGTTTTTTGCTCCTCAGTTTGGGCACACATCGGTTTTATATGAATGTATCCACTGTAAATGTAATCTTAAAATGTTTTTAGATCTCGTTCTCTTCAACATTTCGATTTTCCTGCACGAATCTGGGACGTGGGAACACAATTTTTTTTTCTGTGTGTAGTATGTTTCGCGTTTATGATCGATGATCACGCTTCTGGTGCTGTACTTTTGCATATTCAAGTGTTGCAAATCAAATTAAGCTGTATCTCACTTTTGAAATGAATCTTTGCTACTATTGGTATACTGCAATTGGAACTGGATCCCCTCCAGACCCAATAAAACTGAGCCTACTGAGCAAGGGATTCAGGCCGTTGAAATTTGATCCAATAGCTACAAACAGGGGGTTCCTCTAAAAGTTATAATAATTGTGGCTGTTGGATCAAATTTCAACGCTCTGGATCCCTTGCTTAGTAGGCTTAGTTTACAAGGGTCTGGAGGGGATCCGGTTCCATTGTCCTTAACCACCAGGGGGTATCTCAGTGGTTGGAGCAAATTTCAGGCCCATATTCAACACAATTCGTTTTGGGTTCGATTTTTTATGCTGGTAAATTACACGGTAGTGACAAAGGAAGGTTAAAATGCTTCATTTAGTCTGTCTTGCGATTGGAAAGGTGGACTGCTGTGACTTGACCACTAAATCTCATTGGCCTTTAAACACCGAGTAGACCTTGTGAATGGTCCTACTAGTCCATTATTGGTTACACAATCATCATACCCATTGACTTTGGTTCTTGTTGGACTTGCATTAGGATTATGCTCTCAAGTTCGAATCTCTCTATAATGCTAATAAGATAAAAATACGAAACATTTCTATTGTAGAAATGAGTATGGTAGATTGATTAGAGTAATGTGTCTATCTCTTTACATCAAATGTTTTAGTATCTCCGTCTTACATCAAATGTTTTAGTATCTCCGTCTAGAGTGGTCTTTTAGAGGAATACACAAAAGAATTGTAAGCACTTATGCTCATAAGCTTGTTTTCTAAAAGTGCTTTTATTAGAGAGAAAAAAAACATTGTTAAAATTTTAAAGTTTTATGCAATGCTTAACTACATAGTATTGAAAAAATGTAAAGTCCACCAACACATGTGGGTTCTACTTTTATTAGGATGCCGGTACAACTGTGGTATGAAAAATGTGATAAGAGCAACACTTGTGTAAATTTTTAAGAGTTAGGCCAATCGAAGGGCCAAATGGCTCATTTTAGCCCTATGGCTCTGCAAGAAATTATATTTTAATGAACAATGCTAGGCTATATTTTATAGGTATTTTAACGAAAAGCTCCCGGTACTGTTCACTTTAACGAAAAACCACATTTTTACACTAAAAAGTCAATCATGGTATTATTTACTTTACCTTTTATTTTGTCATTTTCGTTAAAACTCAAAGTTTTCAAGCCATTTTCATTAGTTTTTCTTATTTTATACCATCTCCAACCGAAGGGGTCAAGGGGTCATAAGCCAAATATAACCTTTTGACAAAAAACCATCCCCAACCAAGAGGGCCAAAGGGCTATAGGCCAAACATAATTTATTATTTTAGTTAAATTAATATGGTTGATTAAATTAAACTACCATATTAAAATAAGATTTTCAGACATATTTTGAGTATCACTTGTCGTCAAATGAATAAGCCTCCAGATTTCTTATCTTTATATAATCTCAATAATTTTTTGGATGAGATTTCGAGTGACACGTATTGCTAATGTGAGTAACTCTCCAGATTTCTTATCTTTATGTAATCTTAATAATTTTCGGATAGGATTTTGAGTGCCACGTGCCGAGATGTAATTGGTTGTGCAAATTTTAAATTCGTCAAAAAAAAAAAAATTCAAATTCGAACAGTAACCTGACGGCAACATGACGTTAGCTAGCCGTTGCTAGCTGGAGTCATGCTGACGCCAAGTAGCGTGTTGGCATTCAAATGGGCCTAGTTGAACGACTGGCAAAATGTCAAGCTTGACATTCTAGTGCTAGAGGGCTGGTTAGTTGGTTGGCAAAATGTTAAGTTTAGAGCTTGAGGGCTTGCAAAATGTCAAGCTTGACATTATGGCATTGGAAGGCTAGGCTAAAGGGCTAGCTAGCTGGTTGGAAATGGCCAGCCTGCTGAACTGATTTGGGGGTTTGGGTCTGATGGAGCCCACAAACCCTTTGGCCTAACCCTCAGTTGGAGATGATTTTTGTGTCATTCCGAGCTATTTTTAGCTCTATTACACTTTGGCCGGGTCGGTTGGAGATGACCTTTGGATGCGTACTTTGTGAGAGTGCAAATTCGTTTCATTTTCAGGGGTGTTTTAGACAATTGGCTTTAAACCCCTGATTCTGAATCTCTCTCCCCCTTCGGCCCTTTCTTTCAATTTTCACTCTTCCACTGTGACTTTCAACCCCGTCGCACCAAAACCCTAAACCCCTCTATCCCTTCCCACTCGCCACCGTCGTTGCCGCCACATCTCGCTACTCGATCGCCGTAACCGGTACGTATTCTTCTCTTGAAATACTAATTATGATTGTTTTTCCTTTCATCACCGTGAAATTAATTACGCATCGCTGTTTGGTTTCGGAGAAACCGAAGGAAAATAATTTCAAAATTGATTTTCTCTTCTGTACGGTTTCTGATTAAATGCTTTGAATTAGGTTAGAAGAAGTTTGGGAATGGCGTATTTGCGAAATGGCAGAAATGTCCTCCGTCAAATCGTTAAAGACACCAACATCCACAGCTCCGGGGGCTCGGATCGGATGATGAATCCGCTGATATATGCTTCTAAAGGAGTTCGATTCCGACATTTGGAGGTTATCCTAACGACGGTGCGCATTTCTCCATAAACTCAGTAATTAGTGTTGGATTTTGATTAATGAATGATTAAATTTGATTAGTGGGATTAATTTGATGAATTTAGAGCGTGGACAAGCTCGGTAAAGCCGGTGAGACGGTGAAGGTTGCGCCGGGGTATTTTCGCAACCACTTGATGCCGAAATTGCTTGCTGTCCCAAACATTGACAAGTATGCGTATCTCATCAAAGAGCATCGCAAGGTTCTTTACTTTGTTCTTGGATGGATTGTGTTATAAATGTTCGTCTGCTGCCATTGTTTTGTTTGATTCAGTAACGCTTGTCGTGGATGTTTTTCAGAACTCCCTGCTTGAAGTAGAGGAAGAGGTTGAGGAGGTTAAAGTAGTTGCTGCGGTGTCTGAGGAAGCTAAGCAGAAAGCATATCAAAAGGCGGCGAAAATCCTGGATAATGCTCGTCTGGTTCGTAACATATTTCTATATATTTTAATTGTTGATTGAAGCATAGAGGGACGCATATGCCGGTTTATGTTCATTAATGTGGTTTTTTTTTATAGACTAATAGAATGCTTGATATAGTATAGAATGCTTGTTAGAAGTATGAACTGAAATTCGTTCAAATTTGTCGTTGATCTCGATTTCTTAATGTAGTTAAGCTCTCTTCTTAAAGTGGGTTGTGAAACTATAATTTCGAAAGCTGGTTGAATCTCTGATGCATACAAGAACTTAAACCTTTAGCTTTACATATAGGGGTGATCTGAACTTTACAAACTTTTACAGGTATTGCGGAGGCCCATCGACCTTAAAAAGTTCCGTGCGCGTGCAACAAAAGAGGACCCTATAGAATTGAAATCCCCCGTGACAACCGAGGATATAGTGGCCGAGGTATATGGTTTGTTCTCTATGGATTCAAGCTTCCTTCAAATTTTCTCTCTTTCCTTTTAGCTGATACAGTGTATGTTGGTTTAGGTGGCAAGGCAGCTTTCCGTGCAAATTCTACCCGAAAACGTCCATCTCCCATCTCCTTTGTTAACTGTGGGAGAGTATGAGGTGACACTGCGCCTTCCTAAGTCCATCTCTTTGCCGCCGGGGAAGGTTCAATGGACTCTTAAAGTTAAAATCCGAGCTGCATAAACACTGGACACCGTACCTTTCAATTTCGACCTCTCAGAACGTCGTGGGGCTCAACGTTATGTTTTTTGTGGGATAATTGTTGTATTTTCTGATGCCTTCGTAAAATTGAAGACATTATATCTATAGTATTAGACTTTTAGTTGCCCGTGGTGGAAATGCTTGTTTCTGTGTCATAAAGTTTTGATGCCAAAACCACTTTTCAATAAACAGATGGTTCCTCCTCCTCCAGATTATGTGAACATGGTATATACTACAATCGACTTTATATAAAATGGGTTTACCGTCGTTGTGGTTTCTTGGGTCACTATACAAAGGCAGTCTAACATATGATGTTGTATTAGTGGTCGGTGAACCTGTTTTATGTAAATCATTGTGTTTTGCAATTTTGTTATACGTTTATTACCATCGTGCCTGGACATAGCTTTCAATTGGCCTTTTAGCCATTTTCTGAGATTGACATAACTCCTCTCCTTGGTCTATGACAATGAAAATCGAGAGAAGTGATTCTCCAGTTTGTCCACCGTAAATTATTTAGGTCATTTTGTGAAAATTAATATCCTTGTTAAATTGTCACGTGAACGATTATGTGACCACCTTTTTAAGGGTATTTTTGTCGAACATGTCCCTCCACTTCAAGAGAATATTGACAAAATGTTTACAGAATGACCAAAATGATTTACACTGACAAACTTGGGACCACTTCTCTCTATTTTCATTGTTAAGAATCAAATAAGGAGTTATGTCAATCTTAAATACTATTTTGACAAGAAGGCCCTCCCAATTTTGTTAGGGGTTACTATAAAAATAAGGTTTTGCGAACGGACTAGTTAGAGAGGGCCCAAAAGAAAAGGGCCCGGTCTGGGATATGGGTTTCGTTTTTTTTTTTTTTGACGAGCCGAGTCATCCGACCCAAACCAACCCGAACTCGCTGAGTTAACCCGCTCACTTCAGCGTCCACCATTCTTCGTTATCCTTAACCGCTTTTGACAGCTCGGCCAGCTTTCTTAACCGCTTTTGACAGCTCGGCCAGCTTTCCGCTCTCACCCTCTTCTGCAACCCTCCTCAACCACCACTAATGGCAGCTGACCTTCTTCTCTCTCCTCCCTTCTCCAACAAAACGGGTGCTCTCTCTCTCTCTCTCCAGAATTTCCATATATTTCAGTTTTAATTTGTTTTGATTTATGATTCGCCGGTTTGATTCACCGAAGGTTGGATTTTTGGCAAAAAAATTTCCAAAATATTTGGAAAAAAAATGGTTTTTTACATATTTGAATTTGTTGGGGTTTGAATTCCCAATTGGAGTTGTTCATACAATACAACTACTGGGCTCTTACACACTAATGCTTTTGCTTTGGACAATCCGGGATGGGCAAAGTGTGCTTTCATCACATGATGCAGTCTGCCCATTTGCACAAAGGCAGCACTGCCTTCTCTGTTTGCCTCCCGAAAGAGAATTGCAGCATCAAGCTTTTCATGGTAACTCCAGCAGAACTTTTGCTTCTGTTGGCTCATTGGATGGAAACCTGGCAGACCAAGAAAAGCACTTTCAAAGGTCAAAAACTTTGCAGTTCTTTTGATTTGGTTTCTTTTGTATTGATTTTTGCTAAGTGCAGTTTCTAAAATATTAAGGGCTCGTTTGATGCTTAGGAATGAATTCGATTGAATAACTCATAAGAATCACCATGTATTTTGAAGTAAAAAATGAAAGGTTTTTCATTGTGTAGGAATTGGAGGGGATAAGTTATGAGGTGTTGATATCCTACTATTTTGCGGGGACCGGAAGCGGTAAGTTTACTTCATGAGTAATCCATCTTCTACCTTCAACTCAGAAAAAAATATTCATTTCTTCGATGACATACCTTGAATCTAGTGAGTTATCCAATCAAATCCAATCCTAGGCACCGAATGAGCGCTTAGTTTCATCTAAAAAAATGATGAGCCAATGACCCTAAACCAGTTTTAATGATTAGCAGGTTCAGAACTTCTCTTAAGCAATCAAGTAATAGATTGGATGGGATGAAAAATTTTGAGAGAGAATTGCAAGAGTTACTTGATGAATTCAAAGGTTGATTATGATAGGGAACAAGAATGATGGTATAGACCTACTTCAAGCCAATTATGAGGCTGTGAAGGAAAGGATGAATGGCGGCGTTAGAGGCATTGAAGAAGCTGCCACCATCGACATCATAGCTCTAGGATACATGGCTATTGGCGACTTGAAATTTGTTGATTCCCTACAGGCTATGGTAATTTCTTTTTTCCTTCTCTAGGGAAAGCATGTATAGTTTTTCTCTCCCATTGCCCGTCTGTAAGCTGTTATTGCTCTCCTTTTTGTTGGTGCATTTTAATGGACGACCAGTTGAATGAAGTTGTTGACAGTCTGAAGGATGGTGAACCGCTTCTGGATTCAGTCCTCGTGCACATGGGGAGCATGTATTCAACTTTGGGGATGTTTGAGAAATGAATGTCTGCATACAGGAGGGCTGTCAGTAACATGGAGAACATTTACGGTAAGCTCTCTTGTCAATTTGGAGCTTTTACTACTCGTAACTCAGCTGGCTGTTCCGAATTGGGTTATACGACTTCTTAGGTGAATGATACTAGGTGGTCAAATTACTCGATCTCCTGAAAATGCGTTATAATAATGTTGTGCATGAGTATTATTTAGTGGACATAATCTTACACAAAATGAAGTCATGACGTATGTGACTTTGCACGATTCCATTGTGGCTTCACTGATTGCTGCCTGCAAGATTGGAGTTTTTTTGTGTGTTTGTTGAGTGGTTATTGCCATCTTTTCTGCAAGGAAAAATTGTGTTTTTCTTACCACGCCAATTTTGGGCATGGCAAAAGTTCTCAGCTCCATCGGAAGAACTTCAAAAGCAGTAGAATTCTACAATAGTGCAACAACTCTTCTAGAATCAAGCAGAGCTGCTGAAAGTGAGGATTTGGTCATACCTTTATTGGCCTCGGCAATCTTGAGCAAGTCCACCCTTCCTTAGGAGGCTGGCCCAAAGCCTAAAAAAATAGGCTGGCATCCAAACAAACCCCACCACCCTTGAAAATAGGCCAGCCCAAAGTCCAAGTTAGTTTGTAAGCTGGCTCAAAATGGGTTGAGATAGGAACCGACCTATCTGGCGTCATAGCATGATGTCAATGGACAACACAAATTTTATTTTGCATCAGGCGCGTGGGAACACTCACTCGTGACCTCGCGTCCCCGACAAGATGGTAGGCGCACTAAAGGGGCGCGGGACTTGGGCCACGTGGCTAAGGCTCGGCCATTGGATTTTCAACCGCTAGTTTTTTGGACTGTTAGATTTCCAACGGTCAAAAAAATTTGAAATTCAAACCCAAAGGCTAATGACGCGGCACAATCTGGACCATTTGATTTTTAGATCAACGGTCTAGATTTTTCGGCTAAAAAACTTAAAAAATATAGATACAATGTCAGATATTAATGATATTTTTTTTTTATAAATAAAGAAAATGTTAGAAATTAAAAATAATGTTGTAAAATTGTGAGAATGAATGCCCACAATGGTGTAATTGTTGTTATGTGATGTTTTCAAAAGAGCAATAATGTGTAACTGTTGTTGTGTGAAGTTTTAAAACAGAGCAATCATTTCATTTTTTTTTTTGTCACGGATGTGACTCTATATAAAGAACATTTCGTGTGTGATTACAATACAACAAAGAAAAAAAGTGAAAGCAATAATATCAGTATCCCTTCATTCCTCTTGTTCCTGCAATTTTTCTGTGTTATAGTTACGAAACTAAATAGTGTGATATTTCCGCTTCTCTCATGTCCTTAGTAAAGATTATTTCTATAACTTTTGCTTATTTATAACACGTTATCAGCACGACTCTCTAACCTTAACTAGTTCTCATCTCCCTTCGCTGAAAAATGCTTCCTTTAAGGATTTTATTGTTCTTCTCACTCATTTGCCTCACCTGCTTGATGTACCCTTACCAAGATCTACTAGCACTGTGTTTGCTACCCCAGTGTTTATGTATATTAATTTTATTGCAATCAAAGATGATGTGGTACAATTGTCCATCTTAAACTGCAGATTTAATTTTATTGCAATTTTAGGTGGTGCGGTATAATGGTCCACCTTGCACTGCATATTTAAAATTTTCTATTGCTTGAGTGGTGCGGTATAATCATCCACCCTATGCTATATTGTTTCAATGAGAGCGGTGCAGTACAATCGCTCTCCTCATTAATCATGTAAATTTCGAGCTTAAAATTTCGAGTGCTTATCATTTTAGCTTGAAGATCAAAATGAAAATTTTGTAAGAATCAGAAGTTCTAACACTACATTCCTCCATAATACATATTATTGCAAGTTTTTACACATCTCATTTTTTTTTTAAGAAAAGAAAATGGCGAACTTGACAAAACTTGATTTTGTTGCTCTGGATTTTACTGGAAAGAACTACCTTACCTAGGTAGTGGATACCAAGATTCATTTGGAGGCAAGGAATCTTGGAGAAACTATCAAAGAGGAAAATAATGCATCTTCTCAAGATCGGGCAAAGGCCATGATCTATAGCCGTGATCACCTTGATGAATGACTGAAGAGCGAATACCTAACTATTGAAGATCCATTAGCCCTCTGGAAAGCATTGAGAAATAGATACAATTACCAGAAAACGGTGATTCTTCCAAGGGCTTGTTATGAGTGGACACACCCAAGGATCCATGATTTCAAGTCGGTTGCTGAGTATAACTCTGCACTGTTCAGAATTAGCTCCTAGATGAAACTTTGTGTGGAGACCATCGCTGAGGAAAATATGTTGGAAAAGACTTTTAGCACATTTCATGCCTTCAACGTGCTTCTACAACAGCAGTATAGAGAGCGAGACTTTACAGAGTACAACCAGCTGATATCGATTCTCCTTGTGGCTGAATGAAACAATGAGATTCTGATGAAAAATCATCAGTCCCGACCTACTGGATCGGCGACATTCCTAAAAGTGAATGATGCTTCCCTTGAAGTGAATACCACATCATCTCGTGACAATAATTACAAACGAAGACGTGACCATAAGTGAGGTCGGTGGAACGGGAAAGGCAATAATCATGGTGTCCAATTTTGCAACTAGAGTCCAATGCATAATTCCAGCCTGAGCTTCAAAAATGCAAATAGTCACAAAGATAAAGCTCGTATGGATAGCACTCATAGAAATCCTGAAGGAGCCTGCCATATATGTGGTGGCAATGAGTTGGGCACATATTTGTCGTACCCCAAAACACCAGGCTAAACCAATGGATGCACCTGATCCAGTGTGTGATTTATCAGGGCAATTGAACACAACTCACTTGAATATGTTAGACTTCATTGTGGAAAGAGGGAATGAAGTGTATTGGTCTGATTGAATCATTTCTGTTTGATGTACTTATATTATTGCTTTCACTTTTTTTCTTTGTTGTGTATTGTAATCACACATAGAGTGCTTTTCATATAGAGCCACATCCGTAATAAATCAAAAATGAAATGATTGCTCTTTTGGAAAACTTCACACAACAACAATTACACTACTATTTCTCTTTTGAAAAACATCATATAACAACAATTACACCACTGTGGGCATTCATTCTCACAATTTTCCAATACTCCCCCTTGGATGCCCACATATCAACATTAGTTGCCTCGTTAAAACCTTGCTCGGATTGTTGATAAGTGTTAAGTATGCTTACGCGCCCAATACCCATTGCCACCACACATATAACATGTTCTTTCAGGATTTCTAGGAGTGTTATTCATATGAGCTTTACCGTTGTGGCGATTTACATTTTTGAAGCTCAGACTTAAATTATGCCTTGGACCCTGATTGTAAAACTGGACATCATGATTCTTACCTTTCCCGTTCCACCAGCCTAGCATATGGCCACGTCGTCGTTTGTAATTATTGCCACGAGAGAATGTGGTATTCACTTCAAGGGAAACAACATTCACTTCTGGGAATGGCACTGATCCAGTAGGTCGGGACTGATGATTTTTCATCAGGAGTTCATGGTTTTGTTCAGCCACAAAGAGCACCGATATCAGCTGGTTATACTTAGTAAAACATCGCTTTCTATATTGCTGCTACAGGAGCACATTGAAGGCATGAAAGGTGCTGAAAGTCTTTTCTAGCATATATTCCTTAGTGATGGTCTCCCCACAAAGTTTCATCTGGGAACTAATTCTGAATATTGCAAAGTTGTAGTCAGCAACCGACTTGAAATCCAGGATCCTTAGGTGTGTTCATTCATAACGAGCTATTGAAAGAATCATTGTTTTCTGGTGATTGTATCTATTTCTCAATGCCTTCTAGAGGGCTAATGGATCTTCAACCTTTAGGTACTCCTTTTTAATCCTTCATCAAGGTAATGACGGATAAAGATCATGGTCTTTGCCCGATCTTGAGATGATGCACTGTTTTCCTCTTTCATAGTTTCTCCAAGATTTCCTGCCTCTAGATGAATCTTGGTATCCACTACCTAGGTAAGGTAGTTCTTCCCAGTAACATCCAGGGCAACAAAATCAAGCTTTCCCGAGTTCGCCATTTTCTTTTCTTAAAGAAAAATGAGATGTGTAAGAACTTGCAATAATATGTATTATGGAAGAATGTAGTGTTAGAACTTCTAGTTGTTACAAATTTTTCATTTTGATCTTCAGACCAAAATGATAAGCACTCGAAACTTCAGGCTAGAGATTTACATGATTAATGATGAGGGCGATTGTACCGCACCGCTTTCATTGAAACAATATAGCATAGGGTGGACGATTATACCGCACCACTCAAGCAGAAGGAAAATTTAAATATGCGGTGCAGAGTGGGCGATTATACCGCACCACCTAAAATTACAGTAAAATTAAATTTGCAGTTCAAAATGGACGATTATACCGCACCATCTTTGATCACAATAAAATTAGCATAAATAAACACTGGGTTAGTAGTTAGGAGTTATACCAAACAAGAAATCAAAGATATAAGTAATTGTTATATTGAGAATTAGGAGCAAGCATGATGCTAGCAGATCTTGGCGAGGATACATCAAGCAAGTGAGGCAGATGATGAAGAATAATAATAAAATCCTTGGATGAAGCATTTTTCGATGAAGGGAGATGAGAACTGGTTAAGGTTAGAGAATTGTACTGATAACGTGTTATATATAGGCAAAAGTTAGAGAGATAACCTTTGTTAGGGACATGAGAGAAGCGGGTGCAAAATATCACATTGTTTAGTTTCGTAACTATAACACAAAAAGATTGCAGGAAAAAGAGGAAGAGAGAGATACTGATATTATTGCTTTTACTTCTTTTCTTTGCTGTGTATTGTAATCACACACATAGTACTCTTTATATAGTGCCACATCTGTAACAAACCAAAAGTGAAATGATTGTTTTTTTTTAAAAAAACTTCACATAACAACAATTACATTATTATTGCTCTTTTGAAAACATCACATAACAACAATTACACTACTGTGGGTATTCATTCTCACAATTTTACAACAAGTATCCCTCCCTTCCTCTTTTTCCTGCAATCTTTTTTGTGTTATAGTTACGAAACTAAATAGTGTGATATTTTGCATCCGCTTCTCTTCTGTCCTTAGTAAATGTTATCTCTCTAATTTTTGCCTATTTATAACAAATAAAATAATAATTTTTTATTATTTTATAATAATAAATTAATAATATTTTAATAAAATGGACTAAGCTATTTAGTTTTAGGGATAGAGATGCAATTGGCCAATTATTATTTATTGCAGTCAATTACTATTCATTTAGGTAGATTAAATGAACTTTGGACCAACTTATTTTTTAAGGGTGAAGTTGCTCATAAAGAAGGAAAGTCTACCGAGGCAAAAACTCCTTTTCTAAGGTTTAATTGCTTTCCCCTTCTTTGTAGAATGGATTACTTTGCTCCTTGTGCACTGGCTGGTTCTTAGCCGGTTGAGTTTGATCACTTTCATTCTTTCTTGTCGTTTTTCAGAGTTTTGAACATATACAAAAAATTATATGGAGAAAATGATGGACGAGTTGGAATGGCTATGTGCTCCCTGGCCCACGTGAAGTGTGCAATCTGTCTCTCTGTGTGTGCTGTGTGTTGATCTCTCTCGCTCTCAATAGCTTCTCAGTTTCAAGGCTCTAATTCATTACAGGAAATGCAAATGAAGCCATCTCTTTATATAGAAAAGAGATAATTGAACATTGCGATTATTCAAAGCTAATTTCATAAGTTTCTGTAAAGCATATTGTGCTGCCGTTGTATGATAGTGGCGGTTGCTTAGTTATTACTCTTTGACTAGATGTTGTCGGGTACACTTGGTAGATGTTGGAATTTTTTCTAATCGTAAAACCTACAGTTTCTCTCTCTGTTAGCATATGAATTTGACAGGTGCTTGTAGAGGAAAGGAAGGCCGAGAGCTGCTGGAGGAATGTCTGATGATCATAGAGAGACATAAAGGTAAAGAGGACCCGAGCTCAGCGACACACCTTATTAATCTTGCAACTTCGCATTCACGCTCAAAGAATTATGTGGAGGCTGAGCGCTTGCTGAGAGCAAGTTTGCGGATCTTGGCAAAGACAGTGGGGCCTGATGAACAATCCATCACGTTCCCAATGCTGCACCTTGCCGTTACGCTCTACCATTTGAAACGGGATGAAGAAGATGAACAGCTTGCCCTGGAGGCTTTGCGCATTCGTGAAAAAGCATTTGGAAAGGGACTCCCTTCCCGTTGGTACTGTTGTCGTTTTCCTTAAGCTCAAATAAATTACAATGTCATTTCACATTTGTTCTTCGTCTGATGAGTTATGAATGATGTATTTGACAGCGGAGGCTCTCGTCTGTTTGGTGTCAATTCAAACCAGATTAACGAAGGACGACGAATCGTTACTCGGTCACCTGAAGAGGGTTTTGAGCATCCAAGAGAAAGAGTTCGGTCCCGAGAGCGAGGAGGTAACGATCACCTTGAAAAAAATTGTATTCTACTTGGACAAACTAGGGAGGAAAAACGACTTTTCCCTTTGCAGAAAAGATTGTCTGCACTTCGATTAATTCGTTCAGTAATCTTTATAATCTAAACTTTAATTTTGTTGGCACCGATAGTTCCGGCGGGCATCGTTCATGAAGTCAGACAACAATAATTTGGAGAGATTTATGACCATTACACGAGATGGTAGATCATGTGTTCTCGTATAAATGGTGAGATATATGTGTTAAAAGGTTAATAACTTAAGAATTAAAATTTTTCACCATTTACGTAAAAACACGTGATGTACTATCTATATTCCCGTTACAATTAAAAATTTCTCAATAATTTGGGTGTTGATAGTGAGTTACAATAGGAAGTGAGATTCTCCATCAATTTTTGTGTCAATATTATAAAATATCGTGTTAAAAATAAGAGGTGGCAGAATCCATAGAGAGTCTTATTTTTGAAAGAACAACTAATCATACCCAAATTTATAAGAAGGGTGATTTGAATTCGACTGCGGGGAGTGACTATATTACCCTTAATTAGTTGATCTAATCATACTTCAATCTACGGGAAGTGAGAATCAGGCTAAATATAATGGATAAGCACACTATTCTCAATCAACTGACGTAACCCGCATTATTAATGACATGTCCGGTAGATGGTAAGATCTTTTCTTCACGTCTATTTCTGCAAAAGGACAATCTATGACCTCACCTGGGCCCCATGTGTAAATTACCAATTTGCTAAAATACTACCCAAACTTTCAAGATTACAAGTCTAATGTCCCTTTCAAAAAGGAAGCACAAAAATGACATCCAAATGGAAACTTCAAATCGAATGGGATGCCATATTGCGAATTGCACATCCAATTATAGGACCACTAATGGAGAGAAAAGTACATGTCATTGGTACACAGTTACGTATCATTTCGTGTCAATAATACAATATTAAATGTTAGTTTTCTTTTATATAGCAATTATTCTTTTCTTAAAAAAAAAAAAAAAAAAAAAAAAAAGTGGGATTGGCTAGTGGTTTTGTCACGATAGTCTAAAAGATCAAGAAGAGTCACAAAGACATTTCAGTATTCCCTAACCACCATCATGTTATTCATCAACACCAGGAATTGAACCATGACATGGCGTGTGAAATACAAATCTAAAATTCGTCCTCAATTACTGTGTCACCAATAATGATTTTACGTAGCAATTATGAGTGACACAGAATGTGATGGGGGTGTTATAAGCATCATTACGTAACATCTCATGCTAATTATATAATATTAAATATTAATTTTTAATTACGTGATATTGTGTAATTGACACAAAATATAACAACGATAACTAAGTCAATTTCCCACCAACGAGGCAACGAACATATAATTTCCCACCAAAATTAGGACCTGGTACATTTTCCACATCGCGGTACAACCCTCTTCAGTACAACGTACTACTCCATGCAAATGAATTCGCACTAAGTTTCAGACTTTGGTGTTTTTGGATATGTATACCCTTTAAGTTGTAAACGGATATTACCGACTTGCAATATTATAGCTAGCAAGCAAGCGACGGTGATGTCGGAGGCAAGAAAGGAGGAGGAGGAGGTCTCTCTGTCGTCTGCATCTTCTTTTCCGGATCTCAGAAAACGTATGTCAAACCCAGTATTCCCATCTCCTTTTTAAGGTAGTTTTCTCTTTGTTTTCAAAATTTTCAGATGAAAGTTCAGTGCTTTATTGCTCAATCTTTGTTCTTTGAATGGGGTTTTCTAGTTTCCATTTGATTTTTTTAAATTTTGTGGAGTGATTTGAGTTGGGTTTGATGTAAATTTTCCATCTTTTTTTTATAAAAAAAATTGACGTTTCTGTATGAATCTGAGACCAATTTCCACTTACAGTAACAGAATATATATAGCATGAACTAACTTGGTATATGTCAATTTTGATTAGGTCTTCAGTGTGTCTACTAAATTATCGTAGAGTATTCAATTATATAATCTGGTTTGATTTTAGATTCCTAATTTTTAGGAGCGATATTCTACTTTAAACTAATCTAAATTGCAGGTAGAGGGACTCGAATTAAGGGGCACAGCCTCTAGGCTCTAGCCAATGTTGCTATGCCCACGACCACGAGTGCTTAGATTTCCAGTTAAAAGTTACAAACACTGAATATAATTGACTTGATGTTTGTTTTGGTTTTGCTTGTAGTTGTACTACTAGTTTGAGTCTTGAAATTATGTCGAAAGCATCAATCATTTGTGTCCTCCGTGACTCTATGAGGTTGTAGTGCTAATTTTGTTGCACCTCTACGTAAGATCGTCTGAATTTGCGTCTTTGTTTCTGCTTTATATGTTCCTGCCTTTCTGCGTTAGACAAGTTAAAAGCTTTTGAATTCCTAATTACGCATTCAAATTAGATGCCTACATGAGCGTACTTTTTCGTTGTAAGATTGATTACAGATAGACAAGGTATGGCAGCAGCAGGAGCACAGACTGCATGGCAGCGTAGAGCAAACTGTTGTTTTGTCCAAGAAGATGCGAGGAGCGCTCCAAGATTTTCTTCCTACCCGTCGTCATCTTCCTCAAAAGCAGAATCTGATATTGCACCTGAGAACATCAAACCAGATTGCATGCCTTATAACCGAGGTCCTGAACTAGCACCCAACACCAAGTGGTGGTTGAACCTGGAACCCAACTGTGGGCCTCAGGAGGAGTTACTTACGAACAGCTAAAGTTCTGGAGGCTGAACTTGAAGTTTTGAATACCGGAATTGTTCATAAAACTCCCATTAAAAGCGACTATTATCAGTGCAACGGGGAAATTATGCTGGATTATCGGTTCATTACAAATGTCTGCCTGTTTCCCCCATAATTAGAGTAATATGCCATGTTACTGTCTGGGTGGTGGTTTTCACACTCCCGTTATCTCCTTCTGCTGTCATCCCTTTGTTTATGCTACTTAATTCTTTGATTTATTCAATCTAAAGGCTAGAGAAAAAGGAGGGGGGCACGGGGAGAAAAGAGGAGTGCGGAAATCACTTCCCTTCCTTATTTATCTCCACAAGCCTTGGTATTTTTCATTCATTTAGTAACATTTGGAAATTCAGTGATCTCAATTGGTAATCTGTTTCAGCAGGGATGAGGTTGAAACCCAAAATGATGTACAAGACGAACGAACAAAAGCCGAGCTATCGGAAGCTTTGTGTCACTCTCAAACGCGAGCGAGGAAGGCAGAGAAAGCAGCAAAGCAAGCCTATGCAGAGAGGGAGCACATAATCACTCTGTTTTTCAAGCAGGCCTCACAACTCCTTGCTTACAAGCAGTGGTTGCAGTTGCTGCAGCTCGAGAACTTCTGCCTGCAGCTCAATAACAAACACCCACCATGGTCCCCTTACAGAGGCAGGCACATGAAGAAGGGCCAGCGCAGGGCCGGAAAACGGGGCAGCAGACGAAGGTCCGAAATTAACACGGGCGTTGTTGCATTCGCGGTGGGATTGGGTCTTGCCGGGGCGGGTTTGCTCCTCGGATGGACAATGGGGTGATTGTTTCCAACCGTTTAAACTACTCTTCGTGCTTTGCTTACCTCTTATTTCGCGGATTGGATTTCACTTGACTGTCTCCGTCTCCATTGCATGTGCTCGGAGTAGAAGTTTCGTATAAATGTATCGCCATGCTATTAAGTATAGAAAAAGAATATGTTGATACTATTGTAGATTGATCTATATTAATCTATATTAAATTAACCCGCATTACAATACAATTTTATACACTACAATAACAATATTAGATGGTATGGTAGAAAGAAATAGTAATTTGTATGAGTATATATTCTAAAAATTAATTGATATGGGTCAACCATTCCTATTGATGATCAAATTTTTTTTTTTTGAATACATCCTTGAATTCATTCGGGACGTGAGCAAAACTCATATCGGAAAAGAAAATGGCCCATGGTTTCCCTTTATTGGATGACAATAAGTTTTGTTTGAAGAGACTTGTGTATGGAATGTCTTAAGTACGATTCAATTTGTTTTTAGATTTGATAATCTTGTAAATACAATAATGAACTTGTAGCTCAGTTCATTGTTTGATAAAAACATTCTCCCTTACATCTGAGATCCTGTTTGTAAGTACAAGAACATGTTTTTTTTGTACATAATATTTAATTATCCATAATTTAAGCATGTAATATACGCACACGTAACCACTAACCACCAAATCTTCCTTTGCACATGATAAATGTGGGATATTATTTTTTTGGACAGGAACGATGGACGACAGCCGACCTTATCGCTATCCGACGCTCAATCCGACTATCCAACGTTGAATCAACTACTTTTTAACCTGCCATGATTTTTCATCCAATCCAACCACTTGTTATCCAAAAAGGACACCCATTCAAAACAACAGACAAGCCAAACACTGTTCCATTGCTTTACGGAAGAGGAGCTCGAACTAGACCGACAGTGCCGTATTTAGTATTCTAACATTAGATGGTGCTAATCAAGATATGTTAGACACTAATCCGGCGGTGATTTGGAACCTACCTATTTGTGCTTAGATGGAGTTTAAGCAGGTTTAAGAAATTTATTATATATCAAATAAATAAGTGCTTATTTAAAAATAAAAAAAATAAAAAACTATACTTGTATTTGATAATATGGGTATATTATTTTAATTAGGTTATTTAACATATAACATACAAATTTTTGCTTTAGTATTTTAGTGAATGTTATAAGATGAAATTTTAAGTGTTTATGCGTTCGCAATACTTTACGAAATATTTTTCAAATGTCTTGTGAATTTATAATGAATTTTGAAAGAAATAACGATGTTAAACATATGGTATAAAAAGAGTTATATATTATCCCTTTATTAATTAAAATGTTAGGTGGCACAATTTGATTGGACAACAATTAAAAAAAAAGAAAAAGAAAAATGTGGAGTCGGTCACATGAAAAATGGAGAGAAAGTTTTTCTTCTTCATTAAAACCAAGGTCCAAGAATAGCAGAGCCATGTTGTCTTCCATGTGTTCCTTTTTGTCTGAAATTATATTTTCTTCTTAGTTCGAAGCTTCTGTTACCTAGCATTTGCACAATCAACCGTCATTGTGATCTTCTCTATACCATTATGTGGTCCTTAAAGATCCTCACAGACGCTTCTTCGGACTGCCACCACCTGCCCAGATCATTAGCAAAATTTACCTCCACCAAAGCGCACATTTAATACCTGAATCAAGGAGAGTCAAACTTCTAGAATATGTTTGTTGGACAATTTGGCTATTACTTTTGATCCTTGACCTTTTTTATTTTTAGGGTTTAATTACACGATCGACGGATTAAACAATCCCATAAAAAAGACGAACACAATTGTCAAAAGAAAGTGACAACGAACCCCACGAATTGTTCTTTACAGTAACAATTAATCATACGTGGCCAAAAAAGTAATAATTTAATTAGACAATTCGTTGACAAGTCAATTCAAGTCACAATTGGACCTAAGCTCATTACTGATAATTATACTTTGCAAATTTGAACCGCACTAATATTTTTTTTCTAACAATTAATTGTCTAATCCACTAACGCTGTCATTATACCCAAAAAATGTGAACAATGCCCATGTGCCAAAAAAAAAATATAACAATTAATTAATTAGATTAATTATGCTTAAGTCTTTGAAACTCAATTTAAGTCTCGTTAAATTTCTTAAAACTCGAAATGTGCCGCCTAACTTCTTAATAAACTCAAATTGCTTCTCACTTCACTCCTTATTGATCGAGTTTAAAGAGTTTAATGAGACTCGAATTGAGTTTTAGGGACATATGTGTAATTAAGCATAAATTAAAGGAAAAATTAATGAAAAAGATTTGAAAATTTTGAGTTTTAACAAAAGTAACAAAATAAAGGGTAAAGTGAATAGTATCATGATTGATTTTTTTAGTATAAAAATATGATTTTTCGTTAAAATAAACCGTACTAGAAGTTTTTCGTTAAATTTTTTTAAATTAAATGAACTATTACATTACATGCTAGATGCTTCCTATTCTCTTCTTATTGGGTGAGATTGTTGATTTTGACCCGATTCGGCACAGCGAAGTATTCTCCCCCACACCGAAACAACCGCTGATTATCCGCCACGTGTTCCCGCCAACCGCATCCTATGAGGACGCGGCCACATCCACCAAGCTAGCTGAACACAACGCAGACTGCTCCTCTCTCTCTCTCTCTCTCTCTCTCTCTCTCAAATTCTATCTTGCTCTTCCGCCCCCATTACGATGCCGTTTTGCGAGGTCGGGTCGCCGCAGAATGCCGCGGCGGACGCCAAGCTCAACGCCGGAATCAAAATCTTCTACAGAACGTACGGCCGCGGACCGACCAAGGTCCTCCTCATCATAGGTCGCTCATCTCGAAGATTTTCAATTTTTTTCTCTTTCTTTTTCTGATCGGATTTAATTTTAATTTTAATTTTTTACGAACTGGTTTCTGGCCGGAAATTTCTGGGTTGTTGATGGATTTTGCAATGGATGGACAGGATTGGCGGGGACGCACGACTCGTGGGGCCCACAGATACAGGGCCTGACGGGGTCCGTTATCCCCAATGATGACCAGAGGGCGGCAGCCGCCGATTGCTCCGACAATGAGGCTGGTTTTAGCGGCGGTGGCATCGAGGTGTGCGCCTTCGATAACCGGGGCATGGGTCGGAGCTCCATCCCCACCAAAAAATCAGAATATACGTGAGTTTTCATCACTCATTGAAAAAGTCAAATTTTTTTCAGCTCCAGCTAATTTCAAAGCATTTTGCATCGTCCGATGCCAACTTTTAGCAGAAAAATGTTTTCAAATGTGTATTTTGCACTTTTTGTTGGCCGGAAAATTCTTCAATTGAAAGATGAAATATAAATTTTGGCCAAAAAATGTAAATAAAAATAAAAATATATATTCTTTTACATCTTTGGTGGTGGATCCCGCCAATCAAAAAGAGAAAGTTAATTGGAATCTCAAATTTACGTCAGTTTTATTGGAGTAGAACACCCATTTACATGTTCCGGAAGTGTAAAATGGGATCTAAACATGATTTTTTTCATCTCTCCATCGGAGATGCTCTTACTGCTCATTTGGTGTTTGTTAAGCTCAATTTAGTGAAAAAGTTTGATTTTTTTTTTTTTTGGACAAACGATAGGATAAGTACATCAAATTTATGTAAACTACGAAGGGGAGATTCAAATTAGGACGCCGAGGATGGAGCACACTGCTCTAGCCCACGTCTGCAAAAGTTCGATTTTTATTGAAGATATGCAAAACGTCTTACTTACTTGTATTTCCCGAAAATATGGGAATCGAGAGCTGAGCTGATGATGTCTATTTTTCTTTTTGTTGCAGAACAAGAACAATGGCAAAGGATGCAATTGCATTGATGGATCACTTGGGCTGGAGAGAATCCCATGTCTTCGGGCATTCGATGGGTGAGTTAGTACTTTCTTTTCACTGAGGCTCGTTGAAATTCAGTAGTTTAAGTTAATACTTTGCTTTTGGCACTGACTGAAGTACAAATGTTTTGTTAAGTTTATTTGGATTTAAATTCGAATTCTTTAGTGTTAGACTCTTACTTGAATTTTACTACCACGACAGGAGCTATGATAGCTTGCAAATTAGCAGCAATGGTGCCCAGTAGAATTCTGTCGTTGGCTTTGCTTAATGTGACTGGAGGAGGTTTCGAATGTTTACCAAGGGTTTGTAGCTTTGTACATAACTTGTCATCGTTGTATCAAATTTACCTTTAACGTTGTTCTCAGCTGCCCATGAACTAGAAACTGTACTTCAGTTTACAGTTGAAGTTGAAGTGTTGTCACTGATATGTTCAATATTTTTCAGCTTGACCGACAAACAATATCCATTGCTGTCCGTTTTTTAAGGGCAAAGACTCCTGAGCAAAGGGCGGCTGTAGACTTGGACACTCACTACTCGAAGGTTATCAGCGCTCTCGATCTGTCGTTTTGCTTTCTCTTAACTCAACATCAACAATCAGTGAAAGAAAAACCAGTTAGGAATGGTGTAAAGAAGAACAACTCTCTCACACTTTCACTGTGTTAATGTGCAGGGATATCTTGAGGAACATGTTGGATCCAAAACGAGAAGGGAAATTTTATATCAAGTAAGAAATCCGAAAGGAACTACTTATTGAATTACTTTGATTTTCGTTTCATTATTGCCAGCAATGGTTGAGCTTTGATACAATTTGTAGTACAACATCCATGCTCTGATCTGGAACCTATCTCCAGGAATACGTAAAGGGTATATCAGCAACCGGGATGCAGTCTAACCATGGTTTTGAGGGCCAAATAAATGCATGCTGGACGCATAAAATGACGCGAATGGAGATTGAATTGATCCGCTCAGCAGGATTTCTCGTTTCAGTCATCCATGGCAGGTGCAGTCAACATACCATGCAGTGCCTCTCAGATGTCCTATTTTTTCCTTCTTGTATATAGTAGGAATGGAATTTGTGTGCCTACAGAAGGGCACCGGTTCATGTGTACATTTCCGACTCTCAAACAAATCATCTCTGAAAATCAAGTTTCTGTGTGAAATTTGTCAGTTTTGATTTTCCATCTCATTACATCACATTTCTTCAAAGAACCATCTTGACATTCATTAAATTGACAGGCATGATGTCATTGCTCAAATATATTACGCAAGGAGACTGGCAGAGAAGCTGCATCCTGTTGCTAGAATGGTAGATCTTCCCGGAGGGCATCTAGTGAGTCACGAGAGGACTGAAGAGGTATATTTTGCTTGTCATTAGTTATGAGATTTTATGGAAACATCTGTTATAAGATTCAATGATGCTTGGCGGTGGAAAGGAAATCTTATGTTAATTTGTACTATATATCAGGTAAACAAAGCTCTTATGGAGCTGATCAAGGCAACGGAAGCAAAGACTGAGCCACACGATTGGACAAATTTGCCCTGAAAAAAGTTCAGGTTAGCAAATTTAACCAAAACGAAATGTTCCTTCTCTATTGTGTATAAGACCATGGACCAAATGGCAGCATGCCTGCTGTATAGATGTCAATATCATCCGTGATTATGTGCTAATATATAGTGTCTTTTGCAGGGTGGATAGTTACAAGAATTTCGCTTATCAGAACTAGTACCGGAGAAGGGAGAAGTGTATCGTTCATGTGCAGTGTATTTGAAAAGCTACATCTTTTCCTCTTATACCTCTTTGGCCTCTTTACATTGGCATTTGAGAATGCAAGGAGAGCCTTCAGAACTATAAAACCAGCAAGAGTTGGACATGCCATCACATAAGCTGCTGCTGATCGTGAAGAACCCCCCACGTTTTGTTCAACTGGGGTTCATTGATTTTTCATTATATCGGCGTTGGTGAATGCTGTGTGATGTGTTCTTCCCGGAAACCGGGATTTATTAACAAGAAATGAGGCATTTTATACAGACATGTTGCAATCGGAGGCAGGAACGGAGAGAGATCACAAGGGCCAATATTTAGGCAGATCTCAATCCTCAATTCACTTGCAACATATGAAGATAATAATTTTATCCATTTATACCGGAGACAAACTAGTCTTTACAGATTGTTTCGACTGTTACTATATAATTTCAACTGTTCAATTTTTTTTCGTAATTTGAAGAAAATAAAAGGGAAGAGATCTTCGCACTCCCCTTCTTTTATCTTTGCACTCCTGCTTCTTTTTCTAGTCTTACGACTTTAGGATTGAATAAATCAAAAGAAAATTAAGAGACAAAAATACCTTAGGACTTCAAAACTGAATGAATGTAAAGGAGTTTTAACAAGCAATTATAGTATTAACTCAAAACCTTTGTATCATTGTATGTAAGAAAAGCTTACATGTATGGCATTTATTTTCAAACTAGAATAGTGCGTGACGATGAATTTGTTTCACACAAGTTATACTCACGCAAAGGGTAATTTGGGAAATTGAATTATCAACTAACATATAGAATCACAATTAACTAGAGCCAATACTAACACAAGAATAATAGACACGTACCTGAGAACGAAGAAGACATGATGACCATAAATAAAGATAGTCTTCTACTCTCACAAAACTGTATGCTTATGCTTTCAATGGGATTTAGCACATCTTTAAGCGTGAATTTGGAAAGCAGGGCCATCTGCAGTTGTGATCCTCGTCGCCCGGTTGCGCCGGATACCTCTCCTGTCCCTGAAGTGGTTCGCTCCGATTGCGGCCTCTTCATATCCACCTCTTAGGAATACAATAGATCTCTAAATAACTCATAATTATCCACAATAAATCCTCCACATTATTATTTTGAATGTTTCATATAACCTATCGTTACAAAACTCTATCAACTTAACTCATACAGTCACTATTGAAATAATAGTTATGTTTTATCAAAATCTTACATTGTATACGTATAACAGCAAAAATATTCATAGGATATACGTGCAGCAGCATCAAATGCTGGTTAATTTACCTCAAACAAACATATCATCTTACCCGAGATACACATGTCTTTAGAATCGATAACCGTTGTTCATAAATTTGAATTTAAGACCTCTTACAAATTGAATACTGAATGTCGTTAAACCAAATGATGACGTTATAGATGAGAAAGATAATGTACCTGGCCCTTGCATGCATCTGAGAAAATTTTGTTGTTTGCTTGGATGAGAAGAAGGTGTCAAAAAATGAGTGAAAGGAAGGTAGGTTTCAGGAGAGAGAGAGAGGGGGAGAGAGAGAGAGAGAGAGAGAGAGATGCTATTGTTGTGCTGAATAAGATGCCATCTCTCAAGAAACGGGAGTTTATTGGATAGTGGCATGGCTGATATACCGCTGGAATATACGCAATATATGCCTTTCGCGTCTAAAACCCCAAAAACCCAGTTTCTGTACCTTTCTCCCACCACTAGAAGTAGGGGTACTTCCGTCAGTTTAAAACTAAGAACGAAACCCTCCTCTACTACGTCGTTTCGTTTTGTTTTTCCGGAAATGCAGCGTTTAGTTGGTCTAGAAGACTAGAACCCAATAAACCCCAGCGAGACGCCCTGCTCATCGTCTCCAACTTCTCAGCTCCACAGAACCATGGCTGCAGCACCTTCTGGCACGACAATGGCAGATGCCCAAACCCAGTGGGAGTTTAGCTGGTCTCTCTCTCTCTCTCTCTCCTTCCTCTCGTATATACCGATATCTATTTTTCTCTCCATGTTTTTCCGTTGAAATCTCTTTACTTTTGTAATTAAAGTCAACAGTTTCACCTGGATTTTTTCTAGGTTTGATTATTTTCCTCTTTCAACCCCTCAGGAACCGAAAATTAAAGATCTTCAGTTGATTTTTTGATATGGGTTTGTTTCGATTTGTAAAAAGCTCTTATCTCTATGTATATTCCTCATGAATTTGCTTTCTTGAGAATCTGTTTGAACCAATTGCAGTTTATAGTCTCTGATTTTCGAGTTCCTAGTTTCTTTTCGATAATTTTGCTTCTTGGTTAATGTTTGTGTAGCTTATATGGTTGGTTTTATGGTATTTCCACTCCATTGGATTTCTCTACTGTGTGCTCCCCATTGTTGTTGTCTTAATCTTGTGTGTATGTGCTGTAGCTTACTCTTTCGTGTTAAAACCGAACTCATCTTGTTCGTTGCAATATACAATACGTGCAATAACCGATGTTCATCATTCAGAGTGTGAAATACATCTCAAATTTTTTTGTAAAAGTTGAATTGCTGCTATATTTCGATATTTCGCTTCAGTGTTAGTTTTTCCAATTTTGGTTGGAGCTATTCATAGGAGCTGATGAGGTTTTAAGCTATGTTAGGGAGTAGTTCTAGAGCTGTTGGTGAGGTAGCTAGATCCAAATATGCTGAGGCGAACCTTGTTTAAAAACGTTGTGCATGGATTTTGAGATTACTCTAGATATTTTTTTGGAACAACTTGAATTGAAAAACTGCAAGGGGAAAACTATGCATCAAGGACTACGGGAGTATGTACGGTTGGATGGCCTGGTAAAAGTTTTACGAGGGCTGTTTCTCTGCGAAGCAGAGATCATGGATTCAACTGCACAAAATGGGTGTATCGGAGATGAAAATGCTTCGTTGGATGTGTGGGCACACGAGAAATGATAAGATTAGGAATGAGGATATCTGAGGTAAAGTAGGAGTAGCCGAAATTGATGGAAAGATGAGAGAAAATTGGTTACGGTGGTTTGGACATGTGAAATGAAGGCTTACTGACGCTCCGGTTAGAAGATGCGATTACGGGACAGAGGTTCAGGGCCGAAGGGGTAGGGGAAGACCTAGGAAGACTTTGGAAGAGACTCTAAGAAAAGACTTAGAGTACTTGGATCTAACGGAAGACGTGACACAGAACCAAGTGCAATGGCGTTCTAGGATTCATATAGCCAACCCCACTTAGTAGGAAAAGGCTTTGTTGTTGTTCTTGTTGTTGGAATCTATCTGCCTCTGTGAATTCTTTAGCCCACACAGTAGAAACATTGTCATTAAGAAAATGAAATTCTATGTGCAGTGACTTGGAGGTAGATTTTGAGTCCGAGGAAAGTGCTTCCATTGTCTATGCAACATTAGCTGTTGATAAGGAGGTGATGCTTCATATGTTAAAACTATGTTTTGCTCAGTTCATAACTTCATATCGGTTTGATTGTTTTCGTATCTGATTCCATATGTTACTGCAGTTGCAACCAGACAAGGTGAAAAGGCAGATGTCAGTTTCCAACTGCAAGCTTTCCGTGTAAGCATTTCCGTTCAATAAAATTAATTTTCTGAACTTTTATTATACTTGGTAAATCGGCTACAAGAAAAATCTGCCGAACCCGTGGTGGTTTTTATTCTTATGTACAGGCACTTCGAGGCTGTTGAGGCGAGATTTCTTCGAGCATCATACAGTGCTTTGTTAGATGCGTTGACACTCGCCACGAAAACAATTGAAGAATTTGGAAATGGATTGGAACTGTGAGCAGTTAGCTTTGCTAGTTTTTCAATGAAAGGGTTTGTAACACAATTATTCAAAGCATGAATTGTAGTTTGATTACTTGGCATACGACCTATAGCATTCAGCAATATGCTGTACAAAGCATTTAAACGCGATTTATATGTCGTTGGATGTACAATCCCTCGATTGAATGCATTATGCTACTGAACCCCATAATTTATGATTGCTTATGAAGTTTCGGACAGATTTGGCAATTTTCGAAGGCGCAATCGAACGACAATGTATTTCCTCTCGACATAATAGCTTTGAGAAGTCTCTTGCCAAGCAAACTTCTGAAATGGGAAGTAATATTGATATATATACCATACTGTTTATAAATTTGAAAACGTACATTGCTCTATAGAAAGGAAAAGGTAATCAAACGAATGCGAAAGCTGGAAGCGGCAATTTTCTGCTTCCAATGTCCATTCTCAATATCTAGTATTCATCCAAGTACGTGTATAACATGTCATCTTTCTTTGACTTTCGCCGGCTAAGCAAGGCCTTGAGTAGCCGTTTACTTTTGCTGGTGTATTGTTCAACCTCCCTGCCATTATCTCTTTCAGCAGGCAATCGCATTGAAGCTGACTTCCGAGGCTCCGAAGGGTGCTGTATATACATAAACATCTCAGTGTACGATTATCACAACAAAGGGAACCGTAATTTCAGAAGAACTGACACTCGGTAAACATTGTAAAAGTAGTCCTAGTCTTAGACTCACCCGTCGTCTGGCATTAGCAGGATTTGGAGTTGTCGGCCTACTTGAGTTCGGGGTAGTTGACCGACTTTTGTTTGGGGTCGTTGGCCTACTTGCAAGAGATCCAGACCGTAAAAGTGGAAATCGATGAGGTGAAACTGTTCGCTTGTCTGATTTGATAGTGAACATCATAAAAATCAGATTACTAATATCCAATTCACTACAACGGTGTCAATATCGCAATTTCCAAAATTCATACTCACCTGATTCTTTTTTAGGCATGGTAGAGGTAAAAGAAAAAACTCCACGTCGCTGGGGAGGTTGTGGAGAAGGAGACAGAGAACGCCCTTTGCTGCATAAAACATGACTATCGTTAATGAGAAAGGAAATTGGGTCACCAACTTGGTTCAAGCAAAGATACGGCAGTAATATTTACCTGACTGTACATGGTGGGGTTTCTCTAATTGTAGCGCGAACAGCTTTAGGAATTGAATCAGATTATAACAAGAACCAGAATATGTTAAACTCATGCTTAGTCACACGCACTGAAACAAGATGGGAGATTGGGAGATAGAGCATCCTACCATTCCGAAATTGATGCCATTCGTCTTCATCATCTAGGTTGCATCCTTGGTATTTGGATTTATTTCTGCTGCCTTCGTGCATGGTCTCACTAACTGAAAGTGATTTTGAGTTGTGAGAATTTTCGTTCATTTATATCTCCGTATTTCCAAAAAAAAAAAAAATTAGTCATACAAAATGTGTTGTATAGTTTGCAAAAGTAAATTGAGAGGATGGGTGTGTACTTGCCTGGAAAGATGTACCGCTTGTGGTATTTAGGAGTATCTATAATCGACGACTGTTGAGAAAGACCCTCATGATCGATGTATTCTTGACATGTCCTTATCCTCTAAAAGAAACATAAAAGAGTATTGGGACTGAAAAATATAGCCAGAAATTAACGGATTGAATTGAAAAGAGTCGACTTAGGCTTTCCTAAAAGGAATGACTACTCTTTCTGTAGCACCAGAATTCCATCAAATCAACCTACGGAACAATGGTTTAAAAAGGTGATGCGAAAAAAATTGTTTTCCTGACAGACGATTATCATGTAAAACTTTTGAAAACTGAGCTACGAACCTACGTAGTAGACTTATTATCTTATACCACAGAACCCAAAAGGCATTTTCCACTGATCATTTCAAACAGAAACACATATCAGACAAGCTTGTTCAAGATTTCTTTCTAAAATTAGACCTGAATCATAAATGTCTACCAGATGTTGACAAATTCATTATTTCAACTGTTACCTTACCTGTTCAATGCAAGATACCCGAAATTCTGTGCCAGAAACTTCATCCACCTTTTCATCAAAGAGATCGTTAACCTTATATGTAACAGAACCCAAATGATCCACCGTATTCACGAGTAGCCTTAATGGCATAATCTTTCAATGTTTCTACCACTCTGCACAACAAGAGGATTTTTGTTTAATTTAAAAAAAATATATTAAGGATGGAAAGAATTAGCATTACAAAACCCTGACTGCAAGGAACCCGAACAACTCACATTTGTTTCTGGTCATCATTTGTGTATGACAGTTCAAAGTACTCTGCTGCTGAGTACAATTGTCTTCTCAAATTCTTCAAGTCCTGAAAAAATAATGCAATGCACAAATAAAATCACACAACTTCAGTTGCAAGGTATTTTTGCACTATAACAGGCTAACATCTCCCGAATTCTGATATTTATAATTGAGGTATACGGAAAACCAAAAAGTATTTCGGGAAGATAATAAAAGCCCATACAATTTCATTTCACTCAACTTGCAAAACTAAGAACCAACTAAAACAGTAATACTTAAGCAAAAGAGGAGTACCTTGAGACTATCAGAGAAGAGCAAGCTCTGATGCATAGAAACCTCATCAAAATTAGATGCTACCCGTGGGATGGGCATTGTAGAGGTAGGCATCGTTCCCACGAGCATAAACTTCGAAAGCAATCCAAGATATCCTTATGCTGCAAACAATCAAGATAAGAACATTTGAAGTTACAGTGTGGTAAATGCACAACTCAGCCCCTGAAACCCACCAAATATCGAAAATTAAGTAAACCAAATCCTTCCAAAGAGAAAGAAACTCTGAGAGAGAGAGAGAGAGAGAGAGGGAAGGAGGGAGGGAGGAAGAGTTAGGTTATGCACCAATGAAAATTCCATTCCAACTTTGAAAATTGTAGACTCAAATAAAATCACCAGGTTTTGTGTCTTTGCAAGAAAGAGAGGAGCCTCTCCTTAAACAATTAATTAATAAAATACCCCAATCAACTATTTTAATTAGAGAATAGTCCTACCAGAGATAAAAAGTATAACGGGAATAAGAAATTCAACAACATAAAAGCTTAGTGCTTTGCCTCATCTCATCAATCATTTCAGACAAGAAAATAACAATAACTAAACATTTCACAACACTTTAAAGCTCATTTAGCTGTCAAATTTCAGCTCCCTCTCTTTAATTGCTGAGATAATTCTGGGTTTTCAGGCTTTTTTTTTTCAAAATTCGAACACAAAAGAACATGAAAATTAGATAGAAATAGTGGCCTACCGATCCTAAAAAGCATCAAACTTTGTCAAATTCATCACCCTTTTCTCTGTCACAGAAGGTAATTTTGCAAATGATAAAAAATTACAGTACACTTGAGCAGTTGGGCATTATCTCAGCTGAAAGTTCTTGACTTTCTTCTGTCTCTTGAACACAGTAACAAAAATTCCAATTGGGTAAGTTTTTGAAAGCAATCACTAACCTGGTAACTTTTTTCAGTGCTAGTTCTTCTGGAGCTGAAAGTAGAACTACCCAGAAGGCAAAAATCCAGAACCCGACTGATTCGAATTCAAAGTTTGAAACTTGTGGAGTGTACGAAACCTAAATGGCGAGGAAGAAGAAGGACACAAATAGGGAGCTCGTTTGAAAGTGGACCGTTTTGGTTTGGTACAAGATTTGACTAATCCAAAAGAAAACGACAGCTCTTCTCTATAGTTTTGGAGATTCTACTTGAGGACTTAAAAAAAAAAAGCAGAGAGAGGGAGGGGGAGAGGAGTGAGAGCGTGGAGGGACATCCATCAAGACTAGCATGCCTGTGTAGCAGCGATTCTGAGGCAGTTTTGATGTATTAGTGAGCAAAAGTCTCTCCTTTTGGTAGCAAGAACGCTGTTGGACTGACTTAACCAAGTGATTGCAAACTTTAAAAAATAATTCAATTACTTATGGCTTATTCTATTAACACCCAATATATTATTAATTAAATCTTACATACTTAATATACCTCACATTTGTTTCTCAATTAAAAATTATATTAATATACCCACATACTTTCTCATAATACCTTTACACCCCACATTCTTATACACCTAATATTTTCCACATACACCCCACATTTTCCATACACCCCACATTCTTCAAATCTTATAAGACCATCTTCAACTCTTGGGGTAAAACCTAAAATTTTTAGCCTATAAACAGTTTTTCTGCTCTAACCCTTCTGGCATAAATTTTTTAGCATGAGATTATTAAATAATAAATTTAGGCTAATTTTTTCTTTTAAACTAATTTTTTTTAAAAAAAAAAATTATGTACACTATCATAATTTAATTTTACGAACATTTTAACCTAAAAATATTTAAATTCCGATAAATAGTGAAAGATCACTAAATTTGGGTGAATTTTGAGTTAAATAATTTTTTTTAATTATTTTAGCCGTTGAATTTAAATTTGGGTCGTCAGATCTTTTTTTACCGTTAGATTTGATTATACACGATCTCAGCCGTTGGATTCAATAAATCCTGAGAAACATGCCCATGTGGGTTGGGTCCCGCTTGTGGTGCCCACACCATTTTTTGAGTTAAATCCTAGGGGGAATTTGACTTTTGTTTGGCTTCTAGCTCTTAGTCCACATATTTTGCATGGGTTGGGTTGGGTTGGGAGGGGGAATAAAACCTAAAAAATAGCATTTAGCCTAAAGTTGGGTTGGGTCTAATATCATTTTCAATTTTAATAAATTAAATTAACTTAGGATTAAAACCCTAACATTCTCTAAAAAGAGAGAAGTCTACAATCCGGTATATTGAGCTTGAATTTCATTGGGTCATCACAGCCAATCTCCTTTTCTCTATGTCACCTCCCAGACTGGGCCCCCACCACATCTCGGGTTCAACTCCACCATAGCACGATATTATCCGCTTTGAGCCCCGACCACGCCCTCACGGTTTTGTTTCTAGGAATTCAGACAAGAACTTCCCAGTGGGTCACCCATCATGGGAATGCTCTCGCGCGTTACTCGCTTAACTTCGGAGTTCCTATGAAACCCAAAGCCAGTGAGCTCCCAAAAGGTCTCGTGCTAGATGGAGATGAGAATATACATATAAAGCTTACAAGATCCACTACCCTCGGCGATGTGGGATGTAACACTCTGTCTCTTAAGCCATTTGCTAACAAAAAAAGGATTTCTGCTAAAACAATGGCAACTAGAAAGAACCTAACAGAGCAAAAGTAAATCCCATAAGATGAATAAGAACGGAAAAGGCGTTGCTGGGTTGGCCTCCTATGAAATTGGGTAGTATGGAAAGCAAAAGCAGACTTAAATAATTACCGATGTCGTTGAATAATTAAAACAATGACAAATATGAAATTTTACTTCATGTGAAGCTTTCGAAATATTGATATCATGTTCCATTCGTTAAATTTTTTCTCAATCAACATGTTTATAGTTTCAATAGTTAGAATTTTGAGAGGGATTTTGATTGTTAAAGAAGATAAATAATACATTAATAGTAATTTGGGATATATTTAGAAATTTCTTATTTTCTTTAAACCTCATAAGGTCGAAATTGTCATTGCATAGTAAGTTACATAAGCCACGTAATATTAAATTTTAATGTAGAGTGCATTCAACATTATGTGGGGTGCTAATAAAAAAAGCCTTACTTATATTATAACGTTTGGTGTAACAGGTTGTGTTTCTAGTGCACTAAAAAATTTATTTATCTTTACTCATTAGCGACTTTGTGGGTCCTAACTTCTCGTTAGTGTTTTATTTTCATTTATCTTTTGGGAGTATTTTTGCTCACCACTTTAATTATGGTGTATGCTCATCATACACCTCAACATTTGATACGTGTCATTTCAACTAATTATAATTAACTTTAATAATAAATGTTCTTTTCTAATTTTGAAAAAGATTAATCATAATTAGTTGAAATGACACGTGTCAGATAATGAGGTGTACAATGAGCATGCCTTATAATTTGTCGTGGTGAGCAAAAATGCATCCTTATCTTTTTATCGATAAGGTGAGGGCCCACTTTCTATAACACAAACAGTGGACCACATCCAAACATTGGAAATTGCGGTGTTGTTTTTTCTTCTACTTCTTGTTCTTGAGATGGAGGAGAAGAGCCTATTTTGTTGGGTTTCCCACTTCCGATGGTGGTGGGGGTGGTGGTGGTGGTGGTGGAGGGAAAGGGGTTCATGGGTTCCACCTCTTTTCATAAAATGATTTGAAACTTTGAGTCTTTGAATATTTTGGACTTCGTGGGAATTTTCCCATAAAAAACCCTAACCTCTTTCTAGACAAGTTTGATAGGTTTAATCTTTCCTTTTTCTAGACTAGTTTGATAGGTTTAATCTTTCTTGTCGACATTACGGAAACATCATTGTAACAATATCTCAAATGAATTGTGGCATAGTTTTATTTTTCTTGCATAGCATACATAATTAACTTAAAATACCATTCCAAGAAAGTTCGATTTTAAGAAAGTTCCTCAATTGGTAGACATGCGTAATTAACTTAAAACACTGTTCCAATAAAATTCGATTTTAGGGAAGTTTCTCGATTGGGAGGGAAATGGTACGCTGCTAGGCCCGCTGAAGGCCTTGTAATTGATTTTGTAAGGCAAGGAAAGCTTCTGGTATACAGTCAGAAGTTCTCCCGAGTTATACTAGCGCCTATACTACTACACATATAATATAACACACATGAGAAATGCCAAGGAGATTTTTTCAATAGTTGAATTCTTCATAGATCATTTGTCATCTCACTGTTTAACGTCAATTTTGGTGTTAACATTATAAAATATTGTTCCAAAAATATAAGACAATAAAAAATTCATGATAATTTCACTTTTGAAAGAGTCTCTTTACTATTCTTAACACACATAGGATTGGATGAGGAAATATGCGGGTGTTGAAAAGCACATGTCAATGACCACGCACGCATGCTGTTGGTAAAAGCCTAAATACGTGACTTGGAGGCACTCATCATGCCTCATTAAACAAGGTCACCGAGGAGAAGTAGAAGAAGAAGATGAGACCCCATTATAACATCATTTTCAACTTCCGATTCTATACATATGTAAGTTAGATTAGTTAATCAAAACGCATAAGTGTCTCTTCTCGCATTTCTTACGGGTTCAAATTCTCACCCTACAAAGCATGCAGGTTTATTTATTGATGAAGGTTTAGGGTGACCCACCACCGTTGAAAATGAAATAAAAGGTGTTGATTGATTTGGAGTAGACAGCTAATGTGGATCTTACTGAATACCTCGTTTGCTACTTTTTTTTTCTTTTTCTTTTTCAACCCATAAACCTGTCTGGGCTTTGGAGTTGTGGACTTGTAGTTTCAGCTTTGTACTTTTGTTTTTGGTGAATAATTTATAAAGAAAACTAATGAAAATGACTTGAAAACTTTGAGTTTTAATGATAAGGATAAAATAAAGAGAAAAATGAACAGTAACAGGTTTGACTTTTTAGTGTAAAAATGTGGTTTTTTGATAAATTAAACAGTACCGTGAACTTTTCGTTAAAACTCCCTAATTTATGTAGTATGATCAGTGGCGTGATTGATGGCAATTGAGTTGGGTGGGTCGTGCAAATTCAAAAGACTAATAAATAAGCAACATAAGTACATAACATTATTTGGTTTTGGGATAGGATTTTCACATTCGATTGTTAATCTCTCACACCAACTCTTTATTTTTGCCTGTTAAATTAATAAAAAAAAAAAAGAAGAAAAAAAGACACCGTACAAGATTAATAAAGGTGTGAAAAATTACAGAAATATGTATGTTTATTATTCAGCTCAAGAATCTTATTCGTTAACTCAAAAAAAACTTAAACCCCAAGCCCAAACGCTAACTCAAAAGTCTTGTCTGTTGTCTTATCTTTGCACTCGAGGTTTTGTGTTCTGAGTTCTCTTCAATTCTTATATCTTTTGATGTGTGTGGAAATATAGTCATCTAGCAAGGCTTGGACCATTAAGTCATTGTGGATCGTTTTAAAAATAGGGTCATTTTTGAACTGTTTGGGTTTAGGCTTTTTGATATTTAGGCCCATATTTAAAAAGGCTCCTAAGTTAACAGGTTGTTACCTTTTTTTTCAAAGGGACAATGGCGAAACCCAGATAAAGAAAAAAGAAAAACACACGTACAGCTGAATGAGATAAAGGCAAGAAGACGTTCGTTGGTGATGGAATTAGCACAAGATTGGTTGTTTTGATTCTAACAACTTAAAAACCTCTATGTATATTTATTTGTGTATTGTATTTGATCCCTATAAACAGCTAAGGCAAACTAAGTTACAACCTTCTCCTTGTACGTTTTTAATTTCTTCTATCATATTTGTCTTCCTTTTCTCTCTTCTCATGTACGACTCTATTATGTGTACCATATGCTCGATGAAATATCTTGGTTGACAAACTTTGGTAGTCTTCAACATTACTCCACCATATCCTGAATCCACTC